AAAATGCTGCAATGCTCCAGATAACTAATAAAAAAAATAAATAAGCCGAAATTATCTTTACTTAGTTTTGTCAGGATGGAGTGAATTTCGTGTATTCGCCGACACAGGCTCATTCTGTTATTCATTTTTCAGGTTCTTATTCCGCTCTACCTCCTCAGACACACGAATAAGCGGATCATAAGCAAATTCGAAAAACGTACTTTTGCACTTACTACTGTGTCTAATAAATTGACAACGACCATTTTTTAAAACTGCGATAATTATACATGGACCTCGAGATCTACGATCTAATTTGAAAATTATGCAATTACTTGTTTTATGATATACGAAATCGCCGACTGAAAATTATATGGAACATCGATTAGGCAAGCGGATGAATTGCCTGTATACACAAAAAGACATAGATATCCCTTTATCCATAAAGAGGAGTTTCAGCGGCAAATTAACCAAATTTTAGACGACGGAATCATTAAACACACCTAAAGCCCTTGGAGCAGCCCAATTTGGGTAGTCTCGAAAACACCAGAGGCCAGTGGCATGCAGGAATATAGATTGTTGGTGACTTTCGCAAGGTAAACGAGAAAACGATAGACGATCGTTATCCATTGCTAAATTTAAATGACATAGATCTTCTCGAGGATATTACAAATTAACCTGCAACACAGCAGGGCTGCAACGGCCCACTTCCGGAGGGCGCTATAGTGAGGAACTTGCTTGGTGCCTAGATGGTTTACCAAGAAAACACCGGACATTGGAGGAGATTGACGAGGCCGCCGACGGCGTCAGCTCCGCTGTGATACGGACTCTCGAGAAGAACTGCCCTGAGACAGAGGAGCATAGGACGGGGAGGACTTCTTGGTGGAGCTCTTCCCTAGAGGAGGAGGATGCGGAGGTTATTCAATACAGCGAAGAGCAGCGGCCTAGGTGCGGACTGGGATCTCTATAGGTAGAACAGTACAAAAAAGAACTACGGGCATCACAGAGAAAGGCCTGGAGGGGCTACTGCGGCGAAGTAATGAATACTCCGGATGCGGCTAGGCTCCTTAGGGTACTCAGAAGTGACCCTGCGGGAATGGTCCGCAGGATCGGCGGTCGGGACCACCGGATACACTACAACAGTTGCTGACCACGCACTTCCCAGGGTCCGCCGATCCGGACACAGGGGGAAATGTTGAAGCCGGGGTCGTCTTAGATGCGACTACGCCACGGCAAGGAGGGTGGTTACCCGCAGTAGGCTGAGGTGGGCTATTGACAGCTTTGGCCCCTTCAAGTCGGCGGGCGGTAATGGAGTATTTCCGGCACCGGAGGTCTCCTGACCAATCCGCTCATGGATCTGTTCAGAGCCTTCATTGCGAGGGGATACGTGCCCGAGCTGTAGAGACACAGCAGGGTAGTGTTCATCCCTAAGGCTGGGAAGAGCGACTACACGGACCCTAAGTCATACCGGCCCGTTTGCCCACCAGCTTCATTATGAAGACCCTTAAGAGACTGGTGGACCAGTATCTGAGGGACTGGTTGGAGCTGGAAGCCCCTTTAGAGCCAGCTCAACATGCGTACCGAAGTGGCGAATCTGTGAGCTCGGCTCTTCACTATCTGACTTACAGTTAGGATGAGGGTATGGGTTCGGGACAGCTGTCGGTGTGCGTGTTCGCTGACATCGAGGAGGATTTCAAAAACAAAGGAGTTGCTGACCGACATTCTGGACGCCCTCTAGAGCGGTCTGGGGGCACAACGGGCCCATCTGGTGGCCTAAATGCTTGGACGCCAGCGGGAGCGCCCCCCTTTAATACCAAGACCAATACCAATACGGCCGATATCATAGTATTTTCGTCATCCTTAGAACATCAAACATCTTAAACTTGTTTTCCAAAAACTGCGACACGCTAGACTAAAAATTCAACTACACAATTCCTACGAACCGAAGTGGAAATTGTGGGCCACATAATCACAAAAGACGGATTAAAACCGAATCCTAGGAAAAATATTGCAATAGAGAAATTTGCGATACCGAAAACAGCAAAAGACAAAAATCCTTTCTAGGTCTTCTGGGATACTATAGAAGATTTATTAGTGGATTTGCAAAACTCACCAAGCCTTTCACAAATTGCCTAAAGAAAGGAGGGACCATCGAACACACATCAGAATTTCTCGAAGCATTTGATCTTGGTAAAAATATCTTGTGCAACTATCCAAGACTTCGAAAAACCTTTTATATTGACAACGGACGCCTCTAATGTTTCTATAGGAGCGGTTCTCAGCCAAGGAAAAATTGGTAGTGCTCTCCCCATAGCCTTTGCCTATAGGACATTGAACCCGGCTGAAAGTAATTACTCAACTACAGAGAAAGAATTATTAGCAATCCTCGGATGATGGTGATGATCAAATTTTAATTTTTGAAAATCAAAATAATTATTATCAGTTAACAAACTGCAAGTTAAATTTGCAAAAGATAAAATAATTTTTTCCGTCCATATTCCGATTTTCCTTAAAGAAATTTTTTAAATGTTCCTCCTCCAGTACCCGTAAATCGCTCCTTAATTGTACCTTATTTATCCTACCTAATATTGGACATTGACATGCAAGAATATCAAGAAGCAATCTTTCCAATCATTGAATTGCGAAAATCAACTTCTTAAATCGTATTAAATATGCCGAAAACAAAAATTGATACGGAGTCAATGTAAATGTTTCAACGCATATACTACGACCAATCACCAGTAGATTTGTTTTGATAATACCATAGGAACAGAAACTTAAATTACAAATGAAGATTGGGCAAGCAATCGATGTTCCATATAATTGTGGTATAAGTACCCAACATAATGAGCTTTATAATAAAGAAGAACTTTTTAAAGGAAACCCAATTTCACTGCAATCCATGAAACATGAAAACATGGAACTCACGATGTAAAGTACCAGCCAATAACTAACTAAAACTAAATCAACTACGGGAAGCTGCGAAGTCATCGATCCCCGACATTGGTTATGAAATTCATTCGGTCACTTGTAGTGTCGCTACTTCAAAGGGAATAATGTTTATTTTAATTTTACTAATTGTCACAGCATGAAAAATCTACAAGAGCCGTTTGCTGCAAGATTCCAAGAAAACCAAGCACGACCAGTCTTCCGAAAACAACCCTTCGTTCCTGTTGTTTTTAACGGGACGCGAAGTTCGCATAAGAACGTTATAAATATGTGTACAATGTACTTTGTATTTCAATTCTCCTTGTAGTGCCGTAATGAAATGCTCGTAGTAATGTTTGTGAAAATAAATAAATAATTGAATTAGTTCAGAATTATCTTTATGAAAGTTTAGATGTATTTTTTTTTAGTGTAATTAAAAACTTCCGTTTGCGCAAAACCGTTTTTTGCAGTATTTCTGGAAAATAGAGTCCTTCAATGACTTGTTGTTGTTGGAAGGTCGAAGAATCGAGTGAAAACAGCCTGTTTCAATTTAAAGTTTAATTGTAGGTTCCCTAATCTAGATATACGGTAAACTATTATTAATTTCGATATACAAAATTTGAGAGATCTGATTTTCGATTTCAGGGTGTTTATCAAAATTTTGAGTGTTATGAAAATATTCAATATAATTTGCAAATTAAATAATAAAAGATTGGAGGAATAAAATAAGTAATTGGGAAGCTAACAGTTTACTTGAAACTACATGGCCAAAACATAACGATTATGGCAGCCTATTCACCATCAGAAGATGAAAGAGCCGATATTAAACAGAAATTTTATGACAAATTAGATGAAGTAATTACAAACACCGGACAAAATGGAGAAATTGTGATGATGGGTGACTTCAATGGAAGAACGGGAAAACAACAAAATAGTCCAATCGTGGGACCGTATGGAGAAGAAACAATCAATGATAACGGTGAAAGACTAATTCACCTTTGCGAGACCCACAACCTAAAAATTAAGAATGATTTCTTTTAACATAAAAATATCCATCGCTATACATGGACACAGAGTACTCGAAACCTTAAATCCATCATTGACTACGTGATTAGTCGACAGAAAACAAATTTGCAAATTAACGATGTGAGAGTCCTAAGAGGGAGCCACCTGCGGATCAGATCACTACTTAGTGAAAGCCAAGATAAGCCTTCATTTTCGAAAAACTAGAAACCTTCAGAGAGTTCAAAACAACAACGTGATATCCGCGGAGACAATTGTTACACCAAAATACAACTTTGACAGTTTTAGGGACGAGAGCACAGTTTTTCTTTATCAAAGACGGCTCGACAGTAAACTGCTCAGTCCTGATGGACACACGTTTGACGAAATCTACGAGAACATAATAACAAGTCTAACAGAAGCAACACAAGAGGCAATAGGAATAAAAAAGAACAGCAAAAACAAAAAACATTGGTGGAATGAGGAGATAGAGACAATGGTTCAAGGAAAAAAACAAAAATATCTGAAATGGCTATCTAGAAAAAATGAACAAGATCTTGAAGAATATAAATACATAAAGAAGAAACTAAGACTGCAGATTAACAAGGCAAAAAACGAATCTTGGGATATGAAGTGTGAAGAGATTAACAACTATATTGGAGGAAGAAAATGCTCAGGAGTATGGAAATTCATATCTACTGCAAAGAATCCAGGAAAAGACAGCGTAGGCATTCAACTTATTAAACCCGAACAATGGTTAAAACACTACAAAGACCTACTTCAGGAATCTAGACCAGAACATTTAACTGAATCTCCAAGACACTTCAATGTGGAAGAAGTTGAAATACTTGAGGAAACAATAAGAAAAGCTCTTATGTATCTTAAACCATGCAAATCTAGTGGCTCAGAAGGAATATACTCCGAAATGTTAAAATATGGAACTCACAACCTTTTCAGAAATCTGACAATTGTTATTAATAAATGCTTGAATGGATATCCCGTTCCCAAGGAATGGAAAGTGGCTCTTATCTCCTCTATTCACAAAAATGGAAATAAACTGGACTGCAATAACTATAGGGGCATTTACAAGCACAATGAGCAGACTGTACGGCAAAATGTTACGTGATCTCATTGAGGAAGACTATAAAGAGAAAGAGGAAGAAGAACAATGTGGTTTCAGAGCAGGAAGATCATGTACTGATAATGTGTTTACCCTAAAACAAATTATAGAAAAGAGAAGTGCCAGGAACTTGGAAACGCACCTAACATTTGTTGACTTACAAAAACCATGCGACACAGTCCAAGTAACAAAGTTATTTAGAGTCTTAGAGCAATCCAACATTAATCACACCTATATAGCAGCCTTTAAAGAACTATATAGGGAATCAAAATCAAGAATAAGGGGCGGCCAATGCATTGCGGAGGAGTTCATGGTGAATAAAGGACTACGTCAGAGATGCTGTGTCTCCCCCACCCTTTTTAAAATATATGTGGTAATGGCACTAAAAAAATTGAAAAGAAAGGTCCAGGGCATGGGAAAAGAAATTGATGGTGGATGCTTGTTTACTCTTCAGTTTGCAGACGTCCAAGTCATAGTAGCCAATGATAAAGATGATATGCAATATATGATTCGAAAACTAATAGAGGAGTATAAAGAATGGGGTTTGATAGTCAACATAGCAAAGACAAAGTATCTATCTGTGGGAACTCACTCACTCGGAAATTTGGAATTAGGCAATGGCCAAGAAATCCTTCAATGTCAGGAATATGAATATCTGGGCATCACATTCGACAACAGTTTCGATTTTTAAGTCTTATAATACTTTGTAACTGTCCTGGCAATCCTCTAATAAACGTCCTTAAACAAATTTTATTTCTCTTAGTCGGCAACCTATCCTTCCTATTGAATTCTTCTTTGGGTAACATTGCTTGCGAGGGTGATTTATTGTCTTCTTTGCCCTCAGTCAAAGTTAATTACGTTGGGTTTGTCAGACAGTCTATCACTGGTTCCCTTTGGAATCTAAAGGTTGAAACCCAGCATTTCGCAATCAAATCGTCCCGATGACGCTTCTTTGACCGAAAACTACCCCAAATCCTACCGACTGCGCCAGTTAAGGTATTCAAAGACATGTTTTATTGTTTTACAAACAGGACTGCGGACTTTTCATTAAGCCGTTATAAGAAGAATTGAAATACAAAGTACATTGTACACATATTTAGAACGTTCTGAATGCTGAAGGTAGCATTTTTGTAGTCATCAGAATATTCCATCACATAATTAGTGTTCAAGGGCATTTAGATCTTCATGAATGTTACATAAGAAATTAAGAAAATATAGGTTGTTGTATCCTGCAATAAGAACATATTTTTTCAAGAATTCTTCGTGATCTTGAAGGTCAATAATTGAAAAAGACGTCCGAAAATTATCCTACCAGAAGAGAAGCATTAGAAGTTCTCCTGTGTTTTGAAGAAAACAACGAAAATTCGCAACTGGATGCATCCCGAGATCTACCGTATATTAGTTAGACTACTGTTCAAAGGACTTTAAAATTTAAATCCATTCAAATTATTGCCAGTTCAGAAATTATCCCAACAGGACTTTCAAACAAGACTTTTTATTGTTCCCTGATGATGACGCACTATTTTGAAAGTGACCTTTTTTAATAAATTTTATTTAGCGGTCGGCCAGTATGTTCAATACAAGAAATACTCATACTCATTACTGGTGTATCTCAAATGAAAATCGTTCAAAAGAATTGAGAGAAGTATTTATGTGTAGTGTGACATTAAACGTAATCGAATAATAGGCCCAAAATTTTATTACTTTGTTCTGAATGGTGATAGATATTTAAATTTGTCGGCCAACTATATATATTTGGGATTGAGATTGGTTTCGACAATATAGTGCCCCATATCATACCATAGTGACTGTTAGAAATTGTTTACGTTTTCCAATTTGGATTGGTCGGTACTGAACATTTTTTACGGAGCTGTATAAAAAACGAAGCGTATAAAAATAGGTGCCACAGTGCTATTGAGAAAATTAAAATCATATATATTAATTTTATTGCCAAAGATATAGGTTATGTAAAAAATGTTTTGTAGTTAGTAATAAGTTCTACAATACTTGTTGATTTTATATTCAATTTATGCAATTAATGTTTAAAAAAACTTAGAATAGAATAATATAAAGGTTTTGTTAGATATAAAATAAAATACACGAGTTCTTGCAGAAGATTGGCCATAAATTCTAAACTGCCAATTTTTGTAATAAAAGTCGACATGAAATGGTACAGAATTAAATCGCAAACCTAATAAAAGTACCAAACAATGGGTATTCCATTAAAAAAAAATTTTTTAATTAGAAAAAAACATTATACTTTGGTCATTTGTGACCAACCTGTATAATATATTTTTGGCATAGATAGGTCGAAGCATTAAACATTAAATGTTAACAAATTCCCAATTTTAGTTTTCAAGTGTAAGAAAAAACATTTTTCCAAATACCTGTCTTTCCGCAAAAAATGGTAAAGTTCATATTTTTCAAAAACTACTCAAAATTTTGTAAGCTATGTATGAAAAATATTCAACATCATGCAAATAATTAGCATTTTTCGAAGCATTTTATTTAAAAAATTGGTCTACTGTCCTGGCACAACGAAATACCACAAATAAATTATATTTCTTTTTTTTTCCTCAGTGTCGTACCTATTGAGATAAGGCATAGGAAAATCTTTAATGGACCATCCTGTCCAATGGACAATAAGTTTTTTAGTTTTCAATATTGCCCCATCTTCAGCGTGGTGTTTGACAGTCATGACAAAAGCCTTTTGTGAGTGATGAAAAAGTCCTCTCTATTTATCTTTTGTTCCTTTTGTGTCCAACATTCTACAATGTAATTTCTCAAGTACCTTTAAGATATTTTAATTAATTAATTTATTTTTATTATTGTTTTTCTCCATAATTCACCTCTTACTTGTAGGAGGTGCTGCAACATATATTTTCTCATTTTCAACTACTTATGACTTTTACACCACCCAATATTATATTTTTGGTAAAAAGCGCCTCCTGCGTGAAAAATGTCTCTTGTTTTCAAAATATTTTGGTTTAAAGTAATTGATGCACGTCTTTTCAAAAAAGGAAAACCATTCCGAAAAGGAAAAAAAAATTATATGTACTTCACCGTGTTAAAGTTTTGATTAGTTGGGTTTTGTACCCGAGCCCGAAATTTCAACGTTTATATAGATTTAGATTCTGATGCGGTGCTGTATATCAGACAGACAAGGCAGCGATCTATCGTAAGATAGATTAGATTTGATTCGAAAAATAAAATCCAAATACATAGAAATCAGTCCCTTAGCAACAGCGTCTCAAGATAAAACATTTTTCACCTGTTTAACCTCTACCTTGATAAGCACAACCACTTCAACCTAAATTTAGGAGGAGTGTATACGCTAATATAGTAAACGTGACACTTCACACACGCGCTACTTTAAAGTAGACGTGATATAATGACAAAATAATTAAATTGTTGTTGTCAAGTTACGTAAGTTTTTGTTCCAATGATAAAAAACTTCGTCACAACCCGAACTCAAATTTTGAGTTTGCATTTTTTTTTCCTCCGACTTTGTTCTTTAATTATTGGCAGCTTCTCTGGCGTTATAAAAATAAACTTACACCTTTTGAGAACATATTTCTCTCATAAAAATAAGAGGAAAAGTTTCTATAACCAGATGGTCTGCACCACGTCCATCACATCCAACTTTAAAAACATTATCCCTTAATTCCTTATTCCATTCAGAGATAATGAAACTATTCCGGAACCTTACGATATTTTCGACGGGCTATCTGCTAAAAATAAGTTGAAGAATAATCATCATTGATATTAAGGAAGGACCTCCAACGGCATCAGCTACACAATGTAAAAGAAAATGTGGATGAGCCATTTGTTGGTTGTTTTAGTCACCTGTCAGATATGTGTGTCGATGTGTTTACTCTTGAGCAAGGCTGGGAAATATTAGAAAGCTATATCCAATCTATGTTACAGACTACGGATTGATAAATAATTTGGTAATGTGGCATATTTGCTACTGGTTGTATCTGTAAATTCAAGAAACTCAACACAGTAGCTATTACAGAATATGAACTTTCACCAACTTTGGTTCCATTGTCCCACGCCAAGCAGCAAAATAATCGATATTTTTGGTAATTTATTTGAAAAATTGGAATGCAGTTGCTATTACTTGGAAATATTAAATGGCGTAGTTTTAATGGCTATAAGACCTTTACCAAATAATATGGCAGACGGATTGAATAATTAATAATAAACCTCTGCGAGTTATCTAAAATTAAACTTGTTAATCAGTGACATTATTACAATAGACACGATCTTTTTAATAACTAGGATGATTGTCGATAGTTATATCATGAATGATTCTGATTACTATTAAAAAGTATTAACAGATTAGAAAACGATCATTCACATGCGACAGGTTTTTGGTAAAACAATTGCTAGAACAAGTTTTTTTGTTAAACTATTTCGACCAAATGATTGAAAGTGGCATGGGGAGCACTACCACTCCACTAATCACATAGTCTTTATCTCTCGACATTTCTATGGTTGTCGATAAAAGACCGAAAAAACTAATTTTAGCGCACACTTTTCGTCGGGCAATTGAATAAGTTGGAGCACTTTTCGCCTACAAGGTGAGACTTATTTTATGTTAGATGTTAGACGCCCGCAAAACGTTATCGTGTACCAAGTCAATGTTTGCTTTCTGTCCAAATGGGCGTCTATTATAGTTGCCCAATAAAATTTTATTTATATTATACACCACGTCCTAAAAATGTATACATAATGTTTTTTTATTCCCCGGTGACATAGTCTGATCAAACAAACAAACAAGTTTTTTATTTGGAAAATTACTCATCTAATTGTCAAATAGGTCGAACAGTGCGCCTTAAGTTGTTCATTTTTCAGCACAGCATGAATCTTGCAAGATAGTACAAACAGTCGAGTAACACAATGTATCTTTTAGTATTGCTCCCTCGTACTATAAAAATTATTTCTCAGAACACATTTCTATTTTTTTATTTTGTTAATTAAGATAAAGTCTAAAGTGTCTGAAGACTTTATGTCGGAATCAACCCATGAACTAGCCTAATTGAAGTTATTTTGTTTCAGGAACAATGAAGATTGAGTATCTACTAACGGTAGCATCGATTTGCCTTCAATTTAGAACGTAAGTGTTTAGTAAAAGTGAAACGTTAAAATTTAAATTTAAATTTTCAATTTTATTTCAAATTGCCTGAATTGGCCATATTTTTTTTTGCAAATATTTTTTCTCTTGTTTTTGCCAAACGCAAACACAAAAAACACAACCTAAAAGAAGAATAAATAATTTTATTATGTGTATATAAATTGTCCAAAACAAAGTGTCATCATTTTAAAAACTATTCCCAAATTAGATTAAGCAAAATAGGAGTTTGTAGAGAACATCTAGAAACACCACTTGTTCAATTTTTCGCATTTAGAATATTTTTAAAAAAATATTACGATCTCAAAAGGAAGGAATAAAACTATTTTTAAAAGTCAAAACGATATTTTAGTTCTTGCAATTTTAATTAGCAGTTTGGTAATGTTGGTTAGTGTTCACTGTCATAATTTGCAGGGGCTTTGGACTATCGAACTACACCTTCCCCTCTGGTTTTAAATTTGGAGCAGCTACGGCAGCCTACCCGGTCGAAGGTGCTTGGAATGTAGATGGAAAAGGGCCCAGCTTATGGGACAATATCACTCACGCTTTCCCAAGTGTCATTGCGGATGGAAAGGTTGGGGATGTCGCAATCGACGCTTACCACAGATACACTGAAGATATCCCATTGTTTGCGGATATTGGGCTAAATTTCTACAAGTTTAGCATTTCGTGGCCAAGGATTCTTCCCAAAGGTACACACACACACACACACACACACACACACACACACACACACACACACACACACACACACACACACACAACACACACACAACACACACACACACACACACACACACACACACACACACACACACAACACACACACACACACACACACACACACACACAACACACACACACACACACACACACACACACATTTCATATTTTTAAACCCCAGTATGCGTTAACCTAATTTCAAAAATGTAACTAGGTCATCTAAAAATTAAATTTTTATCTCTAGGGACAATCGACAGCATCAATCAGAAAGGAATAGACTATTATAATAATCTGATTAACCTGATCATAAGCAAAGGCTTGGAACCACAAGCGGTGGCATTCAACTTTGATATACCGTGGGAACTGGAAAAAGTGGGTGGATTTACCAACGCTTCGACCGTCCAACATTTCGTTAACTATACCGATTTGCTCTTTAAAACTTTCGGAGACCGTGTGAAATTCTGGATTACTGTAAATGAGGGTCATGCATTTTGTAAACTCATAGTGGACGACATTCTAGCCCGAGTTATTACACAAAATCTTGGCTTCAAGGAATACCAATGCGCACACAATGTAATTAAGGCTCACGCCGCGGCGTATCGCAATTACGAGAAAAACTACAAGCCTACGCAAAAAGGTTACCGCCAGATGTACTAACTTGGTTTAAAATTACTAAAAATTATTTTTTAGGTAAGGTTGGTATGTCGTACAGTATATATTGGTACCTACCAGCAACCAATACTCAAGCTGACCAAAACGCCGCTGATCGAGCTAGAGCATTTGTGGTACATGCAATAGTTGCGTACATAGTTCGGAAGAATATTTTATCACGAAATATTTCAGTTTGAGTGGTTCGCACATCCGATAATCAAAGGAAACTACCCCCAAATACTGATCGACCAAGTTGGTAATTTAAGTAAACAAGAAGGAAGAAATGCGTCACGATTGCCCCAGTTTACTGCCGCGGAAATCTCGAATATTAAAGGAACTTACGATTTTGTTGGGGTTAACGCCTTCAGGACATTTTTCGCAACTGATCGCAGCGGCCAAAACTTATCTGCCAGTCTTCAGAATGATATCAGAGTCACCGAAACTACCAATTCCTCCCTCGATACGTCTTCAGTTTATATTGTAAGTCAATATAATCTTTTTAAAACAAGTCAACACCGAAAATATTTAATTTCAGTCTTCACCAAAGACATTTAAAGATTCTATAGTTTACGCCAGCAACTACTGTAACGGTTGCGAAATTATCCTAACGGAGCATGGATTTAATACTCGAAATGAGACCCTAAACGATACAGCCCGTATGACATTTATGCAGGTTAGTAGTAGTTAGTACTAGCCACAAGTTATTAGTAACTATCCAGAGAAACAGTAAAAAACAAAAAGCATTTTTTATTACTTATTCTACATTAGTGAGATCAATTTCCTTCTTCCGTTCTCAGTTCTGTTTTTCTATAGTTTCTATAATGTCGACATATAGGTTTGTAGAGACGGCAATACAAATTTACAGCGACTATGATTATGGAACTGGAATTAGTCACAGCTTACAAACAGCATTTCACAGCTTACAACAGAATTACTCAGCCATAACGACAAAAACTTTTTTTTATTAATTGATTATTATATTGATAATATTAAATATTATTTTTCAGAATTACATGGACGAGGTGCTGATCGCAATTAATGAAGATAAGGTCAATATCACCGCCTATACTATGTGGTCTGCCATAGATTTCTTTTATTTCAATTTCGGTGAAACGTACGTCATCCTTTGAATATATAATTAACATGTTTTATTCACATGCAATTATCCTTTCAGAGCAAAACTTGGACTAATTCATGTGGACTTTACGTCAAGCAATCTCACAAGAACACCTAAACGGTCATCACAGTACTATAAGAATATCATACAGACAAGAAGTTTAACGAAATTTAACTTTTAATGGCAAAGAGACAACAACATCCCAATTGCCACAGAGACATTTTTGCCTACTTACTGTTTAAAATTCAAAATTTTGGACATTTGAGGTTGACAGGTTCTGTAAATAATATTTATATTTTATAAATAAGTCTATCAAGCAAATCAAAATAAAACGAAAGCTTTTAACATATTTGCAAATGTTTCATTCCTTCCTTTTAGTAGTTTTTCGACATTTCCATTCAAATTTGCTACTTTTCTAATAAACAACAGCGTGTGTGTAGTGTTCGCATTGGAAATTAAAGGAGATTTAGTTATAATAATCAATCGAACAAAAAAAAATGATATCCTATTTTCGACGCATACGCTTATCTTTAAAATAGTTTCCTATTTTTTTGTGGGACGAAAGAAGAAGCAAACAGCAAAAGCAATGTCCCTAATCCCACATCATTAGCAGCGGTTCTGCAGTTTTTAACGCTCTGCACTTCGCAAAACTACATTTTGGAAGTTATGAAGACTTTTGCCTACCATTTTCAGAATCGTAGCGACTTTCGCTTAGTATTTCAAAATCACAGCGAAATTCGCTTTAACCTTTTTAAAATCCATGCGATTTTCGCGCAACATTTTCAAAATAATTGCGGTTTTCGCCTACTTTCTTCAAAATTATAACTACTTTTGCTTTATAATTTCAAAACAAAATACGACACCGTAGCAACTTTTGCTTTGAAATGATCGAAAATTCTGCACACTACCTGCAACTACCGCTTTGCCCTTTCTAGTTTACTGCAATGTTTTATATGGTCTATCGGATATCAGTAAATTTTCATCTCACATTTGTCATTCAGCATGTCTCCTTGGTTTAACAAACAAACAAACGCATATCGAAATTGTTGATACTGACGTGTGTTCCCTATTTCTTCCTTTATTCAAATGAGTTCATATTTTGCATGTCTTTCAAGCACGTACAAGATTTCATACCCGACGAACTACTTAAAAAATGTACGTCTCCTTTTTTTTCGGCAATGCCTTTATTCGTAGATTTTATTATAAACAAAATACCGAAACAAACGTATTCATGCAAGATATAACAAGTTCCATTCCACTCCTGACTTGTAAGACAATAAAAATGAAACACCGTCGATTTCAGTAATACGTTATATTTGAATAAAACTCCCAAAGAAGTAACGTATAGATCAATTGTCCCATCTAGACTATAACTGTTTTCTTCCGTCCCGTATCGAGTCACGAATAATGCTATATATACCTATACATCGTATCATATCATATATGAAATATTTTTTAACAACTGTTTAATTTTAAACCATAACTTGGTCTCAGTTAAGGTCGCACTCCCTTGCGCGGCTGCCAAACTCGAAATTGTAACATAAACATACAATACAGAAAACATACACAAATATTTTAATTATTACAATCCAAAAACTCATAAATATCGAAATCGATTTTTTTAATACGCTATATTATTGTTTCGATAAGATATCTTGCCTTAAAAAAACATTTTGGATGGAGTTACTACGAGTATTATTTAAAAAGCTTTGTAAAACACGAAAATAATTGATCGATTGAATAATTAAAAACCGCACTCACTACGTTTTACGTGTATGTATATTATTATGCAATGCAATCTAGTAGACGTGACGAAATACAACACTTAAAACACGTGCCACTCCAAACGTGACATAAGGCTTAAATATTTAAAACAATGTAGTCACAATGGATATGTCAACTAAATTTAAAACGTTCTTCGTGATGACTATTAAGTTGACAAAGATTAATATGAAAATTGAAATTAACACTCAACAGATTCCAAACATCCAAAAAAAAATTATTCGGTTTTTGCAGAGAATTAAATAGAATTCAGTGAGTAAAAAACAAAAAAAAGCAAAAACATAACGATATGAATAAAATGAACGTTGCATTTGCATTGCAAACTTGTATTAAATCTACTAAAATAAAATTTAACGGGACCATGCAAGACATTTTTTTGAAAAGGTCCATTTTCAATTAAGACAAAAACCTATTTTGCTTTAAGAAATGCGAATGAAACAAACCGATTGCGCCATCGTCATTGCTCAAAATTCAACATATATCAACTTGAAATTCACTCATCGCATATCCTCGATGACAGAATATTTGAGTTGTCATTGCAGTATGATAGGAGAATAGCTCATTTAATAGACATTATCATTTTTGATCATTTATCTTTTTTAAACCCTCCATACGCTTGTACCGATCGCGCAATATTGCAGGCTTACAACTTTAAAATCATCTCAACTCAACTTAACATCCAAAAAAGCTAAGCAAAACTACTGTTCACAATAACTTAGAACGTAGAACTTTTTTGCGGAATGAGTGATGTAAGGAAGAGACAGTTAATTTTAGATTTTTTTGCTTCCTCTCTTCTTTCACTTGTAATTAATTAATTTAATTGTGTATTTAAATATACCATAATATTGTATTTTAATTGCAAAGAAAATAAAAATAAATAAAATTAGTTTTAATGCTAAATAAATTTCAGCAGTGATCACCATCGCCAGTAACAAAATATTTTCATAGTCGTTAATGGATGGTGCGGAAAAGTACCTAATAGAAATCTAGATTTCTGTAAATATGAAAGACTGAATAATCAATTAGACCGCTAGAAAAGTTGTTGATGGTAAACCTTTGATACATGATTTATTCTCAGTATCAGTTCTCAGTATTATCAGTAAGACGATTATCGTAAAAATCCTAAATTTTTTAAAAATAAAATAAAATCTTAATTATGGTATTATGGAAAATTTGAAAGCGTAATTTGTTTACCACAAGAATACATGATATAGGTTTTAGGTGAGCAAATTTATTATTTTAAATAATTCCTAAGTGGCTTGTGGAGCATTACTACTCCAGTAATCAAATGTAATCTCAAGAAGTTTTTATCGCGCTAGGCACTATAAAAGACCAAAAAAAAATGCATTTTCACACAGTCTTCGTTTCGCCACTGAATAAGCTGAAAAACTTTGTTCTTGCAAGGTGAGACCTATTTAGACTTCAGTATCGCTACCATTGCGCTGCGTCCATCTGCTTAACAGCTTGTAGGCTCATATTGCATCACGCGAATAGCTGAAAAAATCCAGATTCTATTTGACTATTGTATTTGACTATATTACACTATATTACAGAAGAATTTACGATTATATACATTTTCTGTAAATTATTAATATTATAAAAAAGGAAGCACCCTTTCAGTAACCTCAGTCTTAGCGCTAGTAGAATCGCCTTATTTAACATAACAATAGCCACAAAGATTTGCTTAATATATATCCCATAAGTATGCTTTTATTGATTTGTAAAGCAGCGAATCGACTAGCTCAATTGGCAGGATTTTCTTGCAGGAACAATGAAGTGTGCATATCTACTAGCGGTTGCATTAATCGACCTTCAATTTCGATCGTAAGTACAATATAATTAAACGGAAAATTTGTATCTCAAATTTTATTTTGGATTGTGTGATTATGAAAAAACAGAACTACATAGTAAGAAACAGCTCCATGTAAATAACTACAAGATCAATACAATTTCCCAAATTTGAATATTCAGTAATTACTTTATTTTTAAAATAATATACAGGTAACCTATTAAGAACAGGAAAGCAAATTACAAATACTTAGTAGATTTGTCAGTTATCAGCTTAATTTTGGTTAATTGGAAAAATGACAATACCAATTTTTTTTAGTTAATTTAATGTAATGATTATAATCTTACTTCTAAAGTTAAATAATGTTATAACTATTACATTGATAACTGAATGGAATAAGTACTTATTTAATGTACATTTTCTGTTTTTAAAACATTTATTAATTTACGAACACTACAAATTATTAAACTATTATTTAAGTTATTCAATTTTGAAGCTGATTCTCAAAATAAATACAGGGTGTTTCCTAATCTCCCTTACAAAAGGAAGGATCAGAATTCTCATCAAATTTTAAGAAGCAAATGTAGTATAATATTTTTTGGAATAACGCAACATTTTCGAAAATTTCATGCCCTTTCGTTTTATTATTCGTGGCAAAGCGATATTTCAGCGGTACTTGGTAGACATTAGGTCTGTAACTCTATTAAAGCAACGTGTTCATTTATTATAAATGCATATTATAAAACCACAAGTGATACGAGAAAAACGTAATTTTAGACAAATTACGTTTTTAATTTAGATAAGATAAAAATATTCATTGCCGAACAAGCCCGTATTATTTATTTTTGAGAAATTATGGTACTAATCGAAAAATGACACAAAGAATCAAAGTAGTAGAAGCTTTTAATCTGTATGCCAAATATCACTGGAATAAAAGTAATTTTATGGAAATTACGTTTCTTGCGTTTTTCTATTTGCTCCTTCCTTTTATTAAAGAGATTAGGAAATACCCTGTATTCTACAAAGTTTTTTATTATATTCAAACCTACTCCTACACATTGAAAAATTAATTCAATTATTTTTATTATCAAAAAAACAAAAACTGACAGGGCTTCATTTAAAGAATATATAACATTTTTTTGAATTGACCCCACATTCTAAATTAATTTCGCACAAATGTATATAAAAAAGAACAGAAATAGTTGTCGTGAAACTGATGTTGGTTCTTCCATTATTTTGGTATTTTATTATTGACATTTCTTAAGTATCAGGAATGATTATTTGCGCCAGATGACACCAAAAAAAAAATGTAATTGCACGTACGTCATAGGACCAGCTTTGAGCTAAATATAGCAAAGTAATCTTTCTATCTAAGTATGCAAAACCAGTTTCTTTCATCTCAAGAATAAATAAAAGCAATATCAAAGGGCCAGTTCGAAATCTCCCTTATAAGGCCATTCGCTACTAGAATTTGCTGTGTATCAGTTCAATTGCTGAACATGATTTTCTTATTGACTCAATGAATAAATTGTCGAAATTTTATTTACCTTAATATAATATAATATAATATCTTTTAGGACTTTCGGGTTATCGAATTACACATTTCCTGCTAAATTTAAATTTGGAGCGGCTACTGCCGCTTACACGGTTGAAGGTGCTTGGAATGAAGATGGAAAAGGACCCAGCTTATGGGACAATTTCACCCATGCATTTCCAAGTGTCATTGCAGATGGAACGAATGGAGATGTAGCATGCGATTCCT